CAGTTTTTGGCTGGGGCTGGGTTTGAACCCGCCACCTCCAGCATATGGGGCTGATGCCCTACCCCTTTGAGCCACAGGCGCCACCCTTTTTTTTTTTTTTTTGAGACAGAGTCTCACTATGTTGCCCTTTGTAGAGTGTTATGACATCGTAGCTCACAGCAACCTCTAACTCAGGGGTTCTCAAACTTTTTAAACAGGGGGCCAGTTCACTGTCCCTCAGACCATTGGAGGGCCGGACTGTGGGCCCTGGTACGAGTCGGCTGCTAAGCAGGACAGGCAGTGGCGGTAAAAACACCTGGCAGGCTGGATAAGTGTACTAGGTGGCCACATGTCGCTTGCGGGCCGTAGTTTGAGGATGCCTGCCTAACTCCTGGGCTCAATCCATCCCCTTGTCTCAACCTCCGGAGTAGCTGGGACTACAGCCGCCTACCACAACACCTGGCTACTTTTAGCTACTTTTAGAGAGGCGGGGGGGAGGGGGGGGATCTCACTCTTGCTCCAGGTCTTGAACCTGGGAGATCAGGGCAAATCCACACACCTTAGCCTCCCAGAGTGCTAGGATTACAGGCGTGAGTCACCGTGCCTGGCCCAAGGAATATATTTAAAAGAGTAAATTTATAGAAATGAATTGCTGTGGCAAAGGGTGTGTACATTTAAATTTTTGTTGTTTGTTTGTTTTTGAGACAGGTTTTTGAGATGTTGCCTAGGTTAGAATGCAGTGATGTCATCACAGCTCACTGTAACCTCAAACCCCTGACCTTAAGCCATCCCCCTACCTTGGCCTTCTAAAGTGCTGGGATTATAGGTGTGACCTACCACTCCTGGCCACATTTAAAGTTTAATCGATATTGCTAAATTTATCTTGTATTATAATGTTCCAAATTATATTCCCACTAACACTGAATAGTTTGAATGTTACTGAATATTGTAACATTCAAAAATGTGATTTTTGGTTCGGTGCCTGTGGCTCAAGTGGCTAAGGCACCAACCACATACACCTGAGCTGGCTAGTTCGAATCCAGCCCGGGCCCGCCAAACAGCAATGATGGCTGCAACCAAAAAATAGCCAGGTGTTGTGGCAGGCACCTGGAGTCCCAGCTACTTGGGAGGCAGAGGCAGGAGAATTGCATGAGCCCAGGACTTGGAGGTGGTTGTGAGGTGTGATGCCACAGCACTCTACCCAGGGGGGCAGCTTGAGGTTCAAAAAAAGAAAAAAGTGATTTTTACCAATTTGTCAGGTTTTCTTTCACTTCTGAGAAAGAATAAAGTGTAGTATTTAAATGTATCATTTTTCTATGTCTTATATGTCTCTTAATATTTTCATTATCAAAGGCTACTGTCTCTTACTGGAGACGCTGCTGAGACGACTTGATTGGAGTAGTGGGAAGAGGAGAATGACAGTGAAACTTTAGTCCTATGAAAACCCTAGTTCAGGGTTGATTTATTTGGGATAGTAGGATTTTTCAGATACCTGACAGTTCTCTTCCTTTTTGAACCAAAATGTTAACTTTAACTACTTTGGATGAAAAAAGTTCCTAAAATTATGATTTAATAAAAAACAATTTAGAAAAAAAGCATTCCCATCATGAAAAAAACAAAAGTTCCTAAAATTATGACATCATTTTCTTGAGTTTAAAATAAGTATAAAAAGATAGGAATCTTCTTGATGCTCTAAGCCCATCAATTATAGCCCTGGGCTATAATTTACTGATGTCCTTAGGCCATTTTGAATATGTAGAAGCTAAATGGCCTCTGGCTGATATTTTGAAAAAATTCCTAGGTCTTGTCTTTTTTATAACTTTTGGGCTTTCTCCTAGCTGTCAATTCTCACTTTAAGTCTGTCAGTTTACTGTATTTGCTTAGGCTTCTCTGCACTTTGCTCCCTTATTGGCTCTCTAGTTTCTAAACTTGCTCTCTCACTTGTTATAAATATGTATAAAGTCTCCTTTAATAAGGTTATAGTGGATCTTTTATGAGTAAAGTAAAATCTGTACAATTAATGCATAGGAATCCATTTTGCCAGGGTCCAGACCTCTTGGAGAAAAGGGGTGTCTGATTTCTAGTTGGGTGAGGTATAGGCGTGTTTTGTTTGTGGAAAGAAAGAGTGTGGTTAAAGAGTTGTTAGTGGCTCGGCTCCCGTAGCTCAGAGCTAGGGCGCTGGCCACATACACCAGGGCTGGCGGGTTCAAACCCGGCCTGGGCCTGCCAAACAATGACAACTACAGCAAAAAAAGTAGCCAGGCCTTGTGGTGAGCGCCTGTAGTCCCAGCTACTTGGGAGGTTGAAGCAAGAGAAAAGCCCAAGAGTTTGAGGTTGCTGTGAGCTGTAACGTCACAGCACTCTACCCAGGGCGACTCTGTCTCAAAAAAAATTAGCCAGGTGTGGTGGCATGTGCCTGTAGTTCTAGCCACTCAGGAGACTAAGGCAGTAGGATCGCTTGAGCCCAGAAGTTGGAGGTTGCAATGTGTTAGGATTACACTACTGCACTCTAGCCCAGGTGACAGAGCAAGACTCTGTCTTAAAAAATCAAAAGAAGGGCGGTGCCTGTGGCTCAGTGAGTAGGGCACCAACCCCATATACCGAGGGTGGTGGGTTCAAACCCTGCCCCGGCCAAACTGCAACAACAACAACAAAAATAGCTGGGCGTTGTGGTGGACACTTATAGTCCCAGCTACTCAGGAGGCTGAGGCAAAGAATCGCCTAAGCCCAGGAGATGGAGTTTGCTGTGAACTGTGTGACTCCACGGCACTCTACCGAGGGCGATAAAGTGAGACTCTGTCTCTACAAAAAAAAAAGAAAAACAACAATAACCCCTTCTCCCACCCCCAACTCAGACTAGCTAAAGCAGAAGGGAACTTTGCAAACTGACTTCTGGGACAATTTGAGTTGAGGCTCAGCTGGTATTGCCAGCGTCCATCAGCCTAAGCTGGGGTGTGATCTTGGTTAGGCTGGTTCTCCTGGTGGTGTGGCAGCAGCATCCTTCATATCCCAAATGCCCACAGAACAGAAAATGCTGGGGGGTTTTTTTTGCAGTTTTTGGCCAAGGCTGCATTTGAATCCACCACCTCCGGCATATGGGGCCGGCGCCCTACTCCTTTGAGCCACAGGTGCTGCCCGTTTCTTTTTTTTTAATTCCAGCTAATGTTTCATTGCTTTTCATTGGCTCTAACCAAGCCACATTGCTGTCTCTGAGCTAATCACTGAGGTCAGAGAGTGGAATATGTTGGTTGTTATTAGCCCACATTATACCTTACAGCCCTGGAGCCTGGGAATAGTGCCCAGTTTACCCAGTGGTTCTACCAAAGGTAAAAAAGGGCACTAGAACCCTAAGAATGGGGAATGCATGCCAGCTAGCCCAAGAATCCACCAAATGTTTCTAGAAAGTGGTGACAAAAAGAGTAAGCTGAGCCAGGTATTGTGGCCTCTTGCCAGTAGCCCAGCTACTCAGGACAGAGGTGAGAGGATCATTTGAAGTCAAGAGTTCAAGACCAGCCTGGACAACATAACAAGACTTTGTCTCAAAGTGAATAAGTAAATAATAAAAATAAAAGGAGTGAACACATGGACAGTACTTGCTGGTCTCAAATTTCCAGATTGGTACACTGGAGACTAAACTATAATTCCTAGATTTGGCTATTTTGTGTATTTTGAGGCTTGAAGAAACTAGAATGTAGTTTCTAAGAGCATCAACTCTGGAGGCCCAGAGTTGAGTCCAAGCTCTGCTACAGCTGGATTATCTACCCTCAGTTTTCTTAGCCAAAAAATAGGGACAATATTAATATCTAACTCACAGCATTTTTATAAAAATTAATTGAAAAAGGCTGGGTAAAATGGCTTATGCCTATAATTCCAGTGCTTTCGGAAGCCAAAATGTGACGTTTGCTTGAGGAGAGGAATTCAAGACTATCCTGGGCAACATAGGGAAACCCTATGTTTACAAAATAAAAAAAAGATTAGCTGAGCATGGTTGTGTGCCTGTAGTTCCAGCTACTCAAGAGGCTCAGGCCAATGGTGCCTGTAGCTCAGTGGGTAGGACACTAGCCACATACACCCAGGCTGGGGGGTTTGAACCTGGTCCAGGCTAGCTAAACAATGACAACTGCAAAAACAAATGGCTGGGCGTTGTGGCAGGCGCCGGTAGACCCAGCTACTGGGGAGGCTGAGGCAAGAGAATCGCTTAAGCCCACGAGTTGGAGGTTGTTGTGAGCTGTGATGCACTTGACCAAGGGTGACATAGTGAGACTCTGTCTCTAAGTAAATAAATAAATAAAGAGGCTCAGTCAAGAGGATCACTTGAGTCCAGGAGTTCCAGCTAATAGTAAGCAATTATCATACCTCTGTACTCTAGCCTTGGAGAGGAGACAGCAAAACTGTTTCTAAAAATAAATAAATTGAAAGAATATGCATAAAGCACTAAGTACTGTGCCCATATATAGTTTACCCATCCTTATTTTTGGCTGTTTTTCATAAATTGACTCAGTTGGATACCCTGATTTTTGTTAGATCTAAAACAGCCCATATCATAAAGACACTATTGAGCCAGTGGTTTTGGAAGAATTTTTTTTAATTAAAAATGAACGTATTTATTTGTAAGGTTCAGATTAGTGAATTAACTTAAGAAAAATCTTGGCAGAGACAGCAGGCTACTCCAGAGCGGCAGCAGCTGGCGGCGCAATGGAGATGCAATCCTATTATGCCAAGCTCTTGGAGGAGTTGAATGAACAGCGAAAGAGGGACTTTTTCTGTGACTGCAGCATCATCGTGGAAGGACGGATCTTCAAGGCCCACAGGAACATTTTATTTGCTAACAGTGGCTACTTCCGAGCCCTGCTCATTCACTATATCCAGGACAGTGGGCGGCATAGTACCGCCTCCTTGGACATTGTCACCTCTGATGCCTTCTCCATCATCTTAGATTTCCTCTATTCTGGGAAGTTGGATTTGTGTGGGGAGAACGTGATTGAAGTGATGTCGGCTGCCAGCTACTTGCAGATGAATGACGTGGTGAACTTCTGCAAGACGTACATCAGGTCGTCCCTTGATATTTGCCGAAAGATGGAGAAGGAAGCAGCTGTGGCTGCAGCGGTGGCGGCAGCCGCGGCGGCTGCGGCTGCAGCAGCGGCGGCAGCGGCTCATCAGGTTGACAGTGGCAGCCCCAGTTCAAGCAGGGAAGGGACCTCCTGCGGTACCAAGAGCTTGGTCTCTCCAGCCGAGGGAGAAGAGCGCGTGGACTGCTCAAGAGAGTCCCCTTGTGGTGACTGCGGAGATGGACACCCCTTGGAACTAGTGGTGAAAGACAGCCAGGGCGGTGGCTCCATTGACAACGATCTCTTTACGGTGCCCAAACGGATAGAGCCCAAGGTGGAATTTGATGCTGACGAGGTGGAGGTGGAAGTTGGTGAACCGCTGCAGCATTTTGCTGCCCCGCTGAGTCTGGCCCACGTGGAGGAGGGCTTGCCCAGCGGTCAAGCCGTCGACTTGGCTTACAGTAACTACCACGTGAAGCAATTCCTGGAGGTGCTTTTGCGCAACAGTGCCGTCCAGAGCAAAGATGATGGGGACCATCACTTTTCTAGGAGTCTGGAAGGAAGACCGGAGGGTACAGGAGTGGCCATGGGTTCCATGATGGATGTTCCGACGGATTGGTATGGAGAGGACTCAGGTGAGTTCCTTAGCATTCCCCATCTCTGCTCGCTCTATTGCACACACTGTGCCCTGTGTTCTTCCATTGTTACCATCATCACCATTGTCATTGTCACTGTCATCATCACCTCCATCTTTGTCACCACCACAGCTGATAGGCCTTAATCAAGCACCTGCTGTATGCAGATTGATGTTTCTTCATGTATGTTTGTATTCTACCTCTACAACTAGACTATAAGCATGTTGAGTGCGGTTTGCAGGCATGGAAATAACCCACTCTATTCAACTAAGCAGCAGTGGGACCTTGGTGAAATCACTGAATCTCTTTGAGCCTGCTCTGTGTTTGAGCCTGGGGTTTATCATTCCTGCCCTACCTTTCTCAAAGAGTTGTCATGAGGACCACATTTTCAGGGTTTTCAGGGTTGTTTCTCACATATGATAATGTGTTCTGTACACGCAGGAGATTTATACTTCTCCATGTCAGCCCTGATCTCTGGCACATAGTAGGACTCGGTAAACATGATGAGGTGGGTGATGCTGTCTGCTGAGCATGTTTTACATCTAGTGTTTGGCTTTGTGTGAGTTCATTTTTTATATCCTTTTAGGCTTTTTTTGTGTTATGAGATTGGTTGTTTCCCTTGAATAATTCTGAGAGATGAGTTAACATAGTCAACTCTCTGAACAGGTGAGATAATTGTGTTGTAAGGTGTCTTGCAGGAGATAGATATACTTGGCTGCCACCTTCACATTTCCATTCACCCTTCAATATGAAGTAGTGAAAGTCTTTATTTAAGACAGAGTCTCGCTTTGTCGTCCTCAGTAAAGTGCTGTGGCATCACAGCTAATGGCAACCTCCAACTCTTAGGCTCAAGCAGTCCTCTCACCTTAGCCTCTTGAGTAGCTGGGCCTATAGGCACCTGCCACAATGCCTAGCTATTTTTAGAGAAGGGGTCTCACTCTTGCTCAGGCTGGTCTCAAACTCCTGAGCTCAGGTGATCCACCCACTTGGCCTCTCAGAGTGCTAGGATTACAGGTGGCAGCCACCGCGCCTGGCCCCTGAAAGTCTTTTAAATAAGGGGAGATCAGCTCTTTGTTTTTTGACACGGAGTCTCACTATGTCACCCTCCGTAGAATACTGTAGCATCATACCTCAGAGCAACCTCAGACTCTTGGGCTTAAGTGATTCTCTTGCCTCTGCCTTCCAAGTACGTGGGACTACAGGCACCTGCTTACAATACCCGGCTATTTTTTGTTGCAGTTGTCATTGTTTTGTAGCTGGCCTGAGCTGTATTTGAACCCTCTAGCCTAGGTGTATGTGGCTGGTGCCCTACCCACTGAGCTACCGGAGCTGCCCTGTTTTTGTTTTTATTTATTTATTTGAGACAGAGCCTCAAGCTGTCATCCTGGGCAGAGTGCCGTGGCATCACAACTCACAGCAACCTCCAACTCCTGGGCTTAAATAATTCTCTTGCCTCGGCCTCCCAAGTATCTGGGACTACAGGTGCCTGCCACAATGCCCGGCTATTTTTTGGTTGTAGTTGACATTATTGTTTGGCAGGCCTGGGTTGGATTCAAACCCACCAGCTCTGGTGTACGTGGCTGGCACCCTAGCTGCTGAGCTACAGGCGCTGAGCCTAACTTCATGTTTCTAAAGCAAGAAGATTCAGTATGTCTGATTAAAACTAGACTTAGAAAACTTGAAAATGCTCTTTCTGGTCCTCAGAGACACTGGCTTAACCAGCATTTAGAAGAAAGTGGATGTTTATGGGCAGCGACTGTAGCTCAGTGGGTGGGGCGCTGGCCCCATATACCGAGGCTGGCAGGTTCAAACCTGGCCCCAGCCAAACTGCAAAAAAAAAAGAAAGTGGCTATTTCAGTGAACACATTGTAGGAGCTTGTTGAAATTCCCATTTCTTGTGTGTAACAGCATTTTACAGATTACAACTGCCCTTTCTTTTTTTTTTTTTGAGACAGGAGCCTCAAGCTATCCCCCTGGGTAGAGTGCCATGGCATCACGCTCACAGCAACCTCCAACTCCTGGGCTCAAGCGAGTCTCCTGCCTCAGCCTCCCAAGTAGCTGGGACTACAGGCGCCCGCCACAATGCCTGGCCATTTTTTGGTTGCAGCCATCATTGTTGTTTGGCGGGCCCGGGCTGGGGATTCGAACCCGCCACCTTAGGTGTATGTGGCTGACGCCTTAGCCGCTTGAGCCACAGGCACCGAGCCTACAACTGCCCTTTCACATCCATTGAACCCTCAATGCCCCATATCTGGCACAGTAAATAGGGAGAAACTGAGACCTAGAGGGTTCTTTTTTTTTTTTTTTTAGAGAGAGAGAGTCTCACCATGGTGTCACAGCTCACAGCAACCTCCAGCTCTTAGGCTTAGGCGATTCTCTTGCCTCAGCCTCTTGAGTAGCTGGGACTGCAGGCGCCTGCCACAACCCCGGGTATTTTTTGTTGCCGTTTGGCCGGGGCCAGGTTCGAACCCTCCACCTTTGATATATGGGGCTGGTGTCCTACTCACTGAGCCACAGGTGCTGCCCAAGAGACTCAGAGGGTTTAGTGACTGAAGAATGTAGAACTAGGAAGTAAGTAGTCCAGCTAAAACCAGAAACCTGGGATGGCATCATTTCACTCACTAAATTCTGAAGGCAACACAAGTGGTTAGAGAATTTCAGTGCAAAGATTTTGTCTTTGGCTTGGCACCTGTGGCTCAAGCGGCTAAGGCACCAGCCATGTACACCTAAGGTGGCGGGTTTGAATCCAGCCTGGGCCTGCCAAACAACAATAGCTGCAACCAAAAACTAGCTGGGCATTGTGGCGGACGCCTGTGGTCCCAGCTACTTGGGAGGTGGAGATTCGCTTGAGCCCAGGAGTTGGAGGTTGCTGTGAGCTGTGATGCTATAGGACTCCACCCAAGGGGATAGCTTGAGGCTCTGTCTCAAAAAAAAAAAAGAAAGAAAGAAAGAAAGAATTAGCTGGGTGTGGTGGCTCATGCCTATAATTCTAGTACTTTGGGAGGCTGAGGCAGGAGGATCACTGAGGCCAGAAGTTTGAGACCTTGTCTCTACAAAAATTAAAAAATAGGCTTGGTGCCCGCCATAGCACAGTGGTTATGGCGCCAGTCACATGCACT